GCCTGCCAGAGTTTTTTCCTGCATTTCCCCAGCCCGCAGTAGGTTCTGAACTTGGAAACAGGAGTGTGATGGTATCTGTAAGATTTCACCACACCGAGCTGGCAGCTGGAGCAACCCCCCGATAGCACTCCAAGCTTTTGCTATTGCTTGTACCCCACCAGGCTTCACCGTGCTGTAAGTGCCCCATCACTGGAAATGCTTCCGCTGGAATCTGTTCCTTTTGAAGGTATCGGAAGCAATCAACCACGGGACGCAAATACAAATGAAACCAGCTCTGTCAGCCGTGGAGCTGCTTGTTACAAAAAGGCCCAAGAGAATGCATGTCAAGGGAATTATTTCCCTTCCCGAGTGGAGTCAAACAGGCCCAGGCGGTTGGGATCATCGGGCTGCCTTCAGACACTAACCACAAAGCGTCTCATGACGCTTTGTTCCCAGCATTCTGATTTTCCGATCGACTCTCCCACCTCACTCTAAAGGGCGGTCTGTACTTCACTCGCGTCCGTGGAGGATGCAGCGAGACAAAGACCTGTTTCTTCTTCTGGCTCATGACTCTCAGATGCTGCTAACTGAAGGATCTTTCAAATTTGAAACCCCAATTCACCGAGAATGTGATTTGGAATGTTTTTGCAGAGGTTGAGGGGTAACACAGAAGAGATACAGGTTCTTAAGAAGATGCACATGAACAGAACACACCACCCCTCTCTAACCCCACCAGTGCTTGACTCTCACTCCTGCCGAGTCAGGAACAGATGGGAATTACTGCTCAACTATTAAAGAACAGTTCTACTCTCAAAGCAGTGTCAAACACCCAGCAGGAAAGCTGTAGGAGTGCCCTGGTTCAGTTAATCTGCACTTAAAGCTCTACAGAGCAAGGATGCTGTGAAGCATTTTCCCCTTGTGCTACTGGAACAGAAAGATAAGCTTTGGTGTAGTTGGTTAAGAGCCAGCCCGGGGCTGAGGGGGTGCTGACAGGGCCCCGGGGAGCACCTTGTTCTTCTCTAACCACGAGCAACACGTACCGATCACAATTTTGCCGTCTATTTTCTCCAGGATGAACCGAGCCTGGTTGCTCAGTTTTGCAGACTCGGCGCCCAGCATTCCAATAAGCCATTCTTTTCTCAAATGGTAGTAGCGGAGCCTGAGGTCAAAGAACTCTTTAAGGATATCCTGGGGAGAGTCGTACTTCTTGAGGAAGCCCACGTGGTCAAAAAGAACCTGGATGACAGAACACAGGCCTTATGAGCATAAAACATAAATCATAAATCATTCTATGGTTCCAAAACTGTTCCAAACCCACGGCAAAGTAGCTCTAAGCAGGCATGAGAGCACGACAACAATTAGCCAACAGATTATAAAACCTTAGCGTTGTTTCAAAAAGCACTTCCAGTTTGCAAGCGCGGCAGCGACAATCTTAGCATTCCCAAGTTCTTCAAGACACCTAGTAGGGTTAAGGTTACTTGAACCTTAAAGCTATCGGCAGGATAAACATCTAGCATCAAGCTCCACACGTCGCCAGAAGGCAGACACTCAACGGCGATGCCGTCACAACAAAGGGCTGCGGAGCTGTGTGATTTCAGATCGGTTTGGCTCCTGCAGGCAAAGCCACACCACGCTGGGGCCGTTACCCAGCCGGTCCCTTGACCTTTAGAAGGTATGTTTAGAAAGCTGATTTTAAACCGACAGCAGAAAAATCCAAGGGAAGAAGTGACTGCAAAAGAGCCTTGTTGTTACAGGCAGCAACTGCAGCTCTCCACACAGACCTTGAGGTAAAGCGGGGCAGAATCGGTTACATACCATGGAGTTGCAGGTTAAGTTTGTTTGGAGTTTGAAGACCTTATGCAGCCCCACTGTTTTGGCTTCAGTGAGTTTCTCTTCAGTCATCTTCACTATGAACTTCACCGTCGTGTCTGTGTGATATTCCTTATAGTCTGTGATTAGCGGGGGTGTCTTCTCAGTCCCGTTTAACATCGGCTCCAGAACCTGCTCCTTGTAAGTCTGAGGAAAGAATCGAAGACAAACCCGTGTTTTCCACAGGGAGGAAAAGCCCCAAAACCCACTAAACACTTTTTGCTCTACAGGGCAAACTGTACCCGCTCCCAGGGCAGATCCACTCTGTTACCTGCGTCCATGTTCGGACGGGCAGCTCGGTGATCTCAATGGTGGTGGAATCGAGGATTGACACTTCACCGCTTATCACGTACTGGTTGGGTCCCAGCTCGTCTATCGTGCCTTTGAAATTCTTGTAACTGGGAAGCTGAACAGAACACGGGATTCAGCATCGTGTTGGTGCTTCTGTTTTTAAGCACTTGCACGAAACGCGCCAGTATGTGCCAAGTAAACGAGTGAGACTTCTTTTAAATACATTACTTACCATTGGCAACAGCTCTTCTCCATCCATCAGACGACGGATATTATTCACAACTTCCCTGATATCAAAGTTGGGAATCTTGCAGGACCAGCCAGTGCCAATCCCTTCTGCCCCATTGATCAGCACCATCGGAATGATGGGCATATACCACTCCGGCTCCACACGCTGGTTGTCATCATACAGGAACCTCAGGATGTTGTCGTCCATTGGTGGGAACAGCAACCGTGCCAGGGGGCTGGAAGGGAAGAGAGAATTTAATCCTAAATTCTTGTCACAGAGGAGCGAGCACCCGCAAAAGGGACACCCCAGGAAACAACCCAAATGCAGAAATCGGGTTTATTCCTATCGTTCCTCATCGACCTCTATGGGTTCCACCGACTGCCCGGGACCCTCAGCTCGCACTTTCAGATGTACGTTAGACGCGTGCTGTCTGGGAAGGCTCCAGCTCTCGCTGTGCCTCGCTTCAGTACAACCACACCCCTGCCCAACTAACAGCTTTGACCAAGTCCCCGCAGCAACCAGCGCTGGACTTTCAGATGCTAGAACCCCGCTCTCTCAAGTTCATTTTTTATCATCTTACCCAAATTTCTCTTTGGTTTTGCCCCCATGTCCATATTCTCCGCTATACCTTTCTGCTCCCTGGGATTATAAGTTTACACACCTGAATCCAGGATCCAAACCTCACTTCAACTGTGCCTCCTCTGAGCAAACAAGTAATCCAAAGTTTCAGAGGAGAAAAACTAACTTCAGTTTTCATTTCAAATGCTGCCAAATTGAGTCTTGGATCACGCCAAGAATACTGAAGGCAGTAATCCTTAATGCTGACCTGAGCATTGTAAAGATGTATCGAGGGCTGGCAGAGTCTTTCCCACCGTGCAGCCTCGTGCCAAACTGACCGATGGGCTGAAGCAAGTTGAGGTTGTTACTGCCCACAAAGTTCTGCGCTAAGTTGATAATAGTCATCATCAGCGACGCCTGCAATAAAGGAAGGTTCAAAGCTCAGCATGCACAGTTCTTCACTGAGCGGACAAAGGGGAAAATCCACGCAAAGAACAATACTGATGTAGAGGATAAACTCAACTGGTGAAGAATTAGAGGAAACTGGCACTGATAACGCATTCCCCGGTACCCTCTGGGTGACTAGATATATTCCAGTGACCCACGGTACGTTGCCATCTACCTGTTCCCAAAATCTCCAATGAAATATTCTATCAATCTCACAAGGGAAGCTTGTTTTAGTGCTTCACTCCTCCTTTCCAAGGTAGAAAGGCTATTAACATCTGCCTGAACCTATCAGACATACAGCGGGTTTTTTTCTGTTCTAGTTTTGGAAGGAAGTTCACTCCCACAGAGTCTGGGTAGGACAGGCCAATCCCAGATCAAGTTAATACTGAAGCACTAGTAGCCGATATACAGCCACTTGCTATGGCTTTTACACTCATCTAATTCTGCTCCAGAAGCACCTCCAACCACCAACAGGAGAGCTTTTTTGCCTTTCATTTAAAAAGCATTTTGCACAACCAGGCCAGGTTCTTACCTCACCGTGATGGTATGAGGACATCTCGGCTACAGAACCAGCCAGCTGAGCAACCTTCACCTCCCGCTTATCATTTCGTTTGAAACACGTGAACAGAACTTTTCTTTGGCCTGGCTTCAAACCTGTAGTAAAAAAAAAAGAAAAGACCTTGTGATTAGAACGCGCCGTGCGTTTGACTTCCCTCTAGGGACCAAGAACTAGTTCTCCACCTAAGGATTCGGCACCAGGAGAGCGAGGTACTGCCAATAACATACTGCCGAAGGGACATTTAATCCAAAGATTAAAAAATCACAGGCAGTGGAAAACGGACTTCAGAACACTGACCCTGAAACCTCTACAGGTAACCCCCCATTCTCGTGATAGGACACACCAACACGCATTTATTAAGTTCTGGGAAATCACCCTCTCGAAATAACTTACCATCAACCAGCGACGGGATTGATCTTTCATTATCCGAGTTCGAGAACAGCACTAACTCCTTGTTGATGAAGTCATTGTAGGTCAGGTAGTGAGTATTTTTCCCATACAGGTATTCCTAAGGAAAAGAGGTGCAAGCTCGCTTTAATCTGAACACACTCCACGCTGTTTCGTAGCTCGTACTTGGCTAGCCTCGCTAAAACGGAAGCTCCGCGTAAACTAGCTCAAGTGCCGACGCTCTCAGCACGGCAGAGCGAAACATCCCTTCCCAGGATGCAGGCCTGTTTTGTTGGGGAATAAAGTCTTCCTACAGCCCTGCTCAAGTGACAATTTGCCCTCCCGACAAAGTAATTTGACAGATAAAAGAGTTAAAAACCAAAGTAGCTGCTGGACAACTACAGTGAGGCTACACTGATGTGAGAAGTTACTCCGCAAAATCCCGAAAGGTTGTCACTGCCCCCTAACCGGGTGCCTGCCTCGCTGAGCTGCGTGCAGCTCCGGCGGGCCAGAACGAAGCTGAGAACAGCCCCAGGAAGAGACAGGAAACCCGTTTCCTTCGTACACGTAAACCTTTTACCTCTGGCAGACCGTGCAGCTTCCGTTGTCTCCTATCCTCCATGAAATTAGTCAGCCACTCCTTTCGCTCTTCTACCTTCTTCTTGCTAAAGGCCTGTAGTTACAAAGGAAAAGCACCTTGGTTCCAGGAAACTGTGGTGTGCCCACTGGAGCACTTGAGGAAAGGGAAGTATGCAGGAAGAGGTTACCCAGGAGGAGAACATGCTAAACAGGCTGTCTTCATAGCCCAAGAAGGGCAATAAAAGGGTTTTGTAGCTAAACCTACATACAATTTCCACCAGCCTGCAGGAGACATGGCGGTGAGGTTTAAATATATGGATTTTTAACATAATAATGGAAGACTAAAGCAGATTTGGGAGGAAATTAGTATTTTGGGGGAAAAACTTGGGTTTTTTGGCATTGCTTAATAGCTCAGAATACTTCAGAGTCAATGTCTACTGAAGGTGAAGAAGTTCACAGAAGCAAGGACTGCTTTCATCCACTGGTGGGCCATTTGATGAGAAAATCAAGGGGAGAAAGGGAAGGTCTGACTGAGAGAAAATTGCAGAACATGCAGGAAAAATGTTAAAGGAATATTTACCACTGCGTCCGAAAATGTCAATTGTTTTGTCACGATTAGCTTGTTCTGAGCTATATTTAAAAGCTATCAGGGAAAGGCTGCTCTCGGTCTGAGGACCGTGGACAGGTCTGCTCCTACTGGCTGGACTTGGTAACCAAGTTACCAACGTCGCTTTGGTAACCAAGTGACCAACGTCGCCTTGGTAACCAAGTGATTGTCTCAAGCCCAAAGGCCTCTAAGAGCATTTGAAGAGAAGCCACGCAGCACACTAAGCAGCAGAGTACCAAAGGTAGTAAGTCAGCAATTAAATCAAGTGTTAGTTACCAGGGTGATCGCAGCATCATCTTCAGGACCAGAATATTTGAAGCCAATTCGATGTTTAGCCATATCTGCAAAGTATTCTTTAGCCTCCTTCGATGTGCTGGTACCCAAACCTGCAGAGACAAGACGAGTTAATCCTGATTAACTCCTTGCTTAAATTCAGTTGCTGTTCAACGAAATACTTGGCTATGCCTCATTTCTGTGATGCAGATGACTTACTGAGAACTTACACTGCTTTAAAACCAGGTGTAAGCTCTCATAAACCAAGAGTTAGAGAGTAGCGAGCAGTTGCATGTTGTACTTTTGGATTTTGTCTGTAGACATCCAAAATGATTAACTACAAACTGGATATGATTCCTCATCATCCAGCCATTCTTCTGCAACCTTCTCAGTGGTACGAAGCAACTCTGGAGCAAGTAGGTAGCTTACAACGTGACCAGTACACAAGGACTGTACTGTGGAAGACAGCACATAAACCGCAGCATCACAGCCCGAGAGGGCTGAGCGAATGGTTACCCACGCTGTGGTAGCTCCATTTGGAGAGATTTTATTGAGATTTCATCCAGCTAGAGGTCATTTCCCTGCTTTTACATTTGTAATCGTAATACCTTACATGGGAAGAGACTTGGAGGTCACCCGGTGCCACCCTTTCCTGCAAAAGCAGGGCTAACTGAACTTAAGGCTCTCACTTGGATCCTTTAATTTCACCCCATGAAGTTTTCTAACAAACCTTTGTAGTACTTGATTTTCCATGAATTGTAGTTCTGGGTATTGTTTTTCCACTCTTCAAACTCCGGAATGCTGTAGAATGCAATTTCTTCTTTGTTTTTAGAGGCCTGCAGTGAACAAAGAACTGAAATGAGAGGCAGATTCGTGCCAACAGGTACTTCCTTATTTACCTCACCACCTACCCAAGGCCCACCTTTATGATGGGAGTAATAAACTCCTCCAAAAAGTTGTGTCTTAGAAGAGATGGCCAGTTGTGATGGATGAAGTTGATCAGTAAACCTTTGATGTGTGATCCATCTTGGTCCTGGTTTAAGAAGGAAAAAGGACGTATTTAATCAGGGACACGACGGAAGCGACAACTGTTAGCTTAACAGCAAAAGGTTCTGTGATTCCAGCTAACCGACCCCGTTAGCTTTCATGTCTAAAAAGGTGACCGTGCGTTTGGCTGGAGTACTGGAAATGAAGGGAAGCAGAAGAGCCACATTCTTGGTGAAAAAAGGTATCAAGGACCGGTCAAGGACCTTCAACCAGCAGACTGGGAAGACAGCATTCAGCTATTTGGTGATGCCACTCCCCCCTTATCTGTTTTGTTTTGGGGCTGAAGAGACATTACGACCCACTACAACAGAGAAGGATAAAAAAGAGAATGAGGTACAACTGCAGCAGGAGGAAGGTGGTATTTTCTGCTTCCCTCCGTATTCAAGCGGTTGGGATTTCCCCCTCTCGCAATTTTGAGTTTCAGCGAACCTCACCTGATCTGTCATAATCATAATCTTCCCGTAGCGCAGAGTCTTTAAAGATTCTTGATCTTCATAGTTCTTTTTGTATTGTAAACCCACTATCTTGATGATGTTGTTGATTTCAGCATTTTCCATAATCTGGAAAAGATCACATGGAATAAAAGCTTGTCTTTCACATTCAAAATATAGCCCAAAGTGTCTAAGATTAGCCATATCACTGAGCTTTGCCTTGTCAGGTTTTACTGCTGTTTAGAAGCTTATCCTTTCTAAACTGAAGTCTAATGCTTAAATTAGTCGGGATTACCCCAAACACTTTCTAGTCCACCACACAAACTCCATCCCTTCAGGTAAAACACCAAACAGGGCTTAATATTCCCACTCAACCAGCAGGGCAGGCCGAAGATGAGACCAGACTCGGGCGTTTAAGCCGCTACTCCTGCGCTACGGCGTTCAGCTGTACTGACTCGGTTAAAACACCCGGCGTCACCCAAAGCCCACTGCGCCTTCGAACGGCTCGGCTATAAAGATTTTCCAACTGACCTGCTTGTGAGAAGCTTCTCTGACGTTGAGCATTTTCCCACGAAGGGGAAATACTCCGTATTTGTCTCGACCAACCACTCCTAGACCAGAAACAGCCAGTGTTTTGGCTGAGTCTCCCTCGGTCAGGATAAGTGTACAATCTAAAGAATTCTTGCTGCCTAAAAGAGGAAAAATAATCAAGATTCATTTTCTAAATAAGTGAAATCAAAGCCTACAATACTCACAAATGGAATGAGAATAAACATTTAGCTCATACTGGTTCTGTTGCACTGCATACAAGGGGATAAACAGTAAATGGGACTGGAACTTGTACTGGTTCTGTTGCACTGCACAGTAAACGGGGATAAACAGTAAATGGGACTGGAAAATGGGGATAAACTATAATTACAGGTTTTCACATTATCTTTAGGAGGCAATTCTTTCCTTTGTCTAATGAACAAGTTGTAGCTGTTTTTGAATGAACTGGTTACAAAGTGTGTGAACCACTTACCAGCGTCATTGGCATCGTCCAGCTTAGGAACACCCTTAATCTTACTGTGTTTCACAGCCGAACATTTCTTATTCAGCTGGCTCTGGGCTTTAAATTTTACCCAGTTTAGGACACTTTCAACAATGCCACAGCCAACTGCCTGCAATGCAAAAAGAAAAATAACCCCAAACAATTGTGGGAAAAGCCTTAACAGTGACAGAATTATGTTATTTGCCACACTGAACATAAGGTGCAGTTTTACAGGCACCTTGATTCTCAATACTTACACCCTTAATGAATTTTTCACTCAGTTTACAGGTTGAGCCAAAGCTCTTTGCCTGCAGAGTCATGTTCTCCTTAGTCTGAGAGTCGAAGGTTGGGTTTTCAATTAAGGCATTCACGAAAATCCACATGTGGTTCTTCACCTGCAGGTGAACACACCGAGCATCACACGCTGTACAGGCTCACCCGGGTAACAGCGCTGCGCTCCGGCATTCGCCTGGCAGAATCACAGCGAGGAACAACCCCATTATCACCCGTGATTTTGGATTTTCCTAGATGTCTTGGAAGAATTTAGGGCAGCTAATGAACATGCATGAGCAACGTTACACGACTAGGGATGTCGAGGAATCCGCAGGCTGATCGCTCGGGTTAAATCATAGAATCCCAAACTGGTTTGGGTCGGAAGGGACCTTAAAGATCATCCAGTTCCACCCCCTGCCATGGGCAGGGACACCTTCCCCTAGACCAGGTTGCTCC